CTCTCTCTCTCTCTCTGTCTCTCTCTCTCTCTCTCCTCTCTCTCTCTCTCGCGCGCTGGCTTTCACACCCTTCACCTGCCCAAAGTCTGGGAAGAAAAGTCAGCACGCCCGCAGCCTGGAGCACGGCTTTTGTTCCCTACACCGAAAGGTGAACTTTATTGAAAAGACCTGGTAGATGGCAGACCAGGTTTTATATAGTGAATATAATGAACCTGTTCATGGGTGCATTGTTCAACGTATTCTCCGATATTCTGCATGTTGCTCTGCTGTTTCAATCAAACATTCTCACTGTGCGCTGTGAAGCTAGGACGCTAGTCCCAAGTCATCGTCATCGATCTTAAATGATGAGCAGCTGAGAATCTCAGTTCCCCAGAATCAACCGCATCATTATGTATCATCGTGATTTTAGTATCTCGCATTGGGTAAATTGGTGACGTTCTCCTGCAATCTTGTCATTGCACGATCCTCCGCAATTGTCAAGAAGATGGGCGAAAAAACACCACCACCACCAGCATGCTGACTGATTCTTCAAGATTCCCTCTCTTTCCATCCACCCTGGCAAGCTTCTCTCGGGAACTGACTGCCAATTGAAGCAACTGCCATGCTAGCTCTTGTGCCCCTGGTGGCTCAACCATGGAGTTGTACCTGAATCCGTGCTCCCAGTGATGTGACGGATTGTAACTTTCAAGAGGATACAGTGTATATACATGGTTCTACATTCCACGCAAAGGCATTCGAGGAGGAAAGGACCAACAATGATGCCAAACTCAACAGTTCATCAAAAAACAGCATCACTATGAATTCCGAAAATGCATTCCTGTGAAGTTGTACAAAGCAACTCACATTGGAGGAAATGCTACAGTATTCAAACGCCTTTTCTAAGTTAAAGCTTCCACCACCCTGCTTGTCAGCTGGCGCACCTTGCGTCCTGGCCTGGACAGTTTGTTGCTTCAGAATTTGGACCACCAAGGGCACCAAGGTCCCAGAGGTATTCATTTGGGTTTTTGCCAGCCTTGCACCAAGCACCACCAAGCACCACCAACCAAACCAACCAGACCAACCAACAACAATTAGTTGATATTAGTTGGGTGGTTCTCCTTCTCACCACCCTTGTATGGATTGCCTTTCTCTCTGGAAGGGTGGCTCATGCTGGCTCATGTGATGGCTCATTCGATGACTCATTCGATTCTCTGTTTGATCACTATTCCACCCGTCAACTTTTGTAACTTGCTGAAGTCTTTGGACATGGGAACAAGAACGTCAATGTCCACGGCTAATCACCTTGCACACCTTGGAAGTACGTCGAACCTAAATCCTGCTTTACTGCTGGCTACCTTTTCCTTCAATGCACTGCCTGGATGGCGGTGGGCTGACAGTATCTGCAAAGCCTCCTGTCGCATGCTGCCAAAACAAGAATACACCAGACCCAAAGCGTCTGTGCATGTGTTCAACCTTTGTCCAATAGCTGCTCAAGGGCATAGAATGCCAACAAAAGTTGGAATTCACTGCGGTCCATTCCTTCTGAGTTCTTTGAAGAGCGAAGCAGCTACTCCACACATGTGGGCCTCCTGCGTCTGTCCCTGTGTCCTGCGAGTGGCCAACTGCCAGAAATGCCTCCGTGGCATCCTGGCCGTTGCAGTGGAGCCCACGACCGTCGAAATGTTCACGACCACGACAGAGATAGAGTGACTACAAAGGTGTTCTTTCGATTCTGGATCGTCTCATTAGATGCTCCTTCGTGATGTGATAATTCATCTTTTCTCCTCACACACTGCGTTTTACACCGGTGTCCGCAGGAGGATGGTTGCATGTTTTGTACATTCATCTCACTTGTCGTACATACACACCCTCTAGCACTCCACAACGTGGAAGGGCTATCGAGGGGCGAACGACGGATCGATCGCGAGTTGGTGTGGATCGTCAAATGATTTTTACAGTGGCCCAAAATAACATTGAGTGCTTTGAATGCTGTGACTGCCCAGAGTCAAAATTCTGACAATGGAAAGTCTGATGAAGTCAACGGATCACGTCGCTGCACATGTGGGGGAGTGACTCTAAAGATGACCCAAGGTCTTGACACCAATTTAACCTAAAGATCTTAAAACATGAATGAACCAAGGAGTTTTAGGGAGAAAGCAGGTTCTCAGAGTGCATCGTATTCCACGATTCCTGCCCAGCATGACGCTGCAGCACTGCTGCGCCACCGGGATGTTCCTGGCAATTCTGGGCTGAGGTTGTGAATCGCCGTGAACCCATCCGACACCCTGAAAGACATGTAGTAACAAGGACGCTATTAGGAGCAAAGGGCATCGCTACTAGGAGCAAAGTGCATTGCCGTATATGTTGGATGTGCATCCTTCAGGAAGCAACTGATTGTTGCAGCAGCAGGTTTCTATGTGCTCATTGGATGGTTGTAACTTGTTGCCCCTGCTGTCCTGCTCTCCCTCTGGCTCGATTTCTTGAGGCCAAATATATAAATACTACAAGCCCCCTTGTACTTGTACTGGGAAGCTGGAGGGTGTTCTGCATTGTCTACATACACTAAGTTGTATCGATCCTTTGTTGAAGCACATGTCACGCTGCATGGCCAGCTGACATTCTCCGTAGAATTGGAAGGACCGTTTTTTCTCACCAAAAACAGCGGCCAGCGCCGGATTTCTCGCAGGTCTGCGCTCGGCAGGTGGAGTTCTGTTCGATCCGCCAAATCCTTGAAGGAGATCCGAGTTCGTCCTCCTGCGCTTATTGAGTCCAGTGATGGTCTCCTCGATGCTCAAAAGCTTGCTGTTTCAGAGTTCTAGGCGGTGTGCTAGGAAGCCTTTACAGCAAATCCTGTCTTCTCAAGGCAAGAATAGTCAGCTTGTGCTGTGACGTGTTGCTCCACAATGAGGCAAAGGCAAAGTAGAGCTTAGCGGTCAAATGAACGTTACAATGAACCTTCTGTAGTCTGGGGTGAGACTCTGCAGCCTGCTCGTGTGAGGTGTGACATGTCCCTGCATTATATTCCCAATCTTCATCAAACTCAAGATACTGTGCTGTTACATGTTGCTGTCCAATACATTTCTAGAGGGAAGTGAATGTCCTATCTATGTTGGGATCATTATACATGGTCCAAAGTACACCACCTTGCATGTAATATCATAAGTTTGCCGTTTGCTCAACAATGATTCGCTACTTGCCAACGCACAATGAGAACGCTTTAAATTGGAGATCTCCACCAAGTTCGCTAAGACCTTCCATTTGGTCATAGATTTCTTAGATGATTTCAGCTGTTTCATGGCGAGATAGGTCAGCATTGTTACTGGCATCGCCATGGATCTTCAAAAGCTCGCACCCATGGAGATCTCCACAGGATCAGGAGCTCCAAAAACAATGCAGGCTCGTCATTGAACACTGGAGACCTAGCAAGGGGTGGGGAAAAAGAACACGTATTCTTGTTCTCCAGTGCAATGATGTTCCGAAAGTAGGACCTTCAGTTGCGAGGCTTGCTCATTATTACATGGCCGAAGAATTCTTGAAGAACGATTCTCCCAGGCTCCCTTCATCCTGTGGTTGGCACAAAGTGGAAACAGCAACATTTCATGTTACTTCGCTGCCTTTGATCGCAATCCTCTGCTTGCCAGCTGAAAGACGCATGTACTCACCTCTACCAACGCAACATTGTCACGTGGCAAGCAGCAGTTGTTGCGAAAGCAGGGAAGTGAAAAGTCTTTGAGATCTGGCACACGAAACGCTGCGCTGGCTGTGGGCTTTTACACGCAACCAAATGTGGGAGTTTTCCCACATGAAACGCGTAGAATCCATCGGTGATGAACTCCTACATTCTGCCAAACCCTGCTGAAGCAACTAGTCAACACGCGGCGTGATTGAGTTTTGCTTCTGAAAAGGACGGCATGCAGTGGTAACGGCAATGTACAACACGGGTTGCTGCAAATGCGCAAAGCCATGATGTGATTATCAGTGATCATTTTGGCTTGTGATAGTGTTCCGTCATTCACCAGTCCATGGCACCTCCAACCAACAGCGCCTTGTAAGCATGCCTGAACAAGAAATTAGCATGTCCTAGCCCTAGCATTGATCTACCAACTGGCTCCAAGACTCCAGAGAGGTGTGCAGAATGGTCTGAAGAAACGCTTGGGCAAATACTCTTTGCTAGGGCATTTCTAGCACCTCAAGGAACTTCGCGCATGCCTGCAAGCGCAATTCCACTTGCAAACTTGTAAAAGGATGGGAAGGATTGTATATCTTCTGCGGTTCTGTCTCTTCAATGACATTATTAGTATTGTGTAGCGGGGGATGATCGCCATCATTTCAGACATCCACATCTCTATATGGTGCGTTGTTCACCAAGCATTTCAGGATGCAGGATGGTATATAATTGTGAAGCAAATAGAGGTGAAGGTTGATTTAAAAAGACACTTCAACCTCAACCTCTGACTACCCATACAACCAAACGTTGACCTTTTGACGATGCTGACCATAGAAGTGGGTGTGGGGCGGGCTCGACAGAAATGAGGGACAACGAAATAGACGTTCTAAATAACCTAACCTCCGTAAAAGCGTTATTGTTCCTACTAGGAAGGAAGGGAGGAAGGAAGGAAGGCAATGGAAAGAAAGGTCTAAAGGCTGTATTGTATAAGTAGCTTCAAAAATTGACCATGCGAAGGGTTCTTCTTCATCCATATCGCTCTTCGTTAGCTTCTTCCTTGCCTTGCTACTTGCTACTTATGCAGCTCGCCTTCTGTTGACAGCCTACCCGACCCCACACGCACACGCACCAGAAATAGAGGTTCTTCTTTCTAAAAGCATTCTTATGACTTATGTCTGTCTACTTTCACACTATCCCCAGGCTTTTAACTTCAAACAATGCCGATCGAGGGCAAAGAAATTAATTAACTCCTATTGCTAATTACTAATAGTATCTAATGGTGACTTTTGCAGGACACGCGCTTGGACTCTGAAGTAGCTGGCGCCCAAGAAACTGTACTCCTCTTCTGTGAGTTCTACAGCAACCGCCGAATGGTGTAGAATTCCGTGGCATCACCGGTTGACACGCTCCTGAGGGTGAACCACTAAAAGAATTCCGCATCTTGGCTTGTTACGCTCGCAAACAAAACAAAATTACCTGTGGCTAGATGTCATAATTAGATGTCTTTGGACTTTGGACGTTGACAAACATTGCTGATTCTTCCAGAGGAAAGGAAAACAAGACTCGTCCGTGCCTTCTAAATGAACCTGGCAAACAAAGCAAGGTCATCAGTGCAAGCTTGAGGTTGTCTTAGTCCTCGGCTCAGGTTTATCTTAGATGCCCGAAACAGAATCCTTGTGCTCCCGGGTGCACATAACTAAGATCAAGAAAAAATTCAACAAGGAAGGTAAGGCCCAATTTAAAGGGCCACATTTATCCTTTTTACCGCTCCAGCTCCTCCGTACTTAATTAAGTAGGGGACTAGTAAGCTTCTAGGCTAAGTTAGCTTCTAGGTACGACCCAGGATAGCTCACGCTTCTTCAAGAAAGCTCCCCTGCCTGAGGGCGGCGGGGAGAGCGCTCGCACTAATCATTTGGTTCCTAGATTTTTAGGGAAACTTAACATCTGGGGCCCCTGGGGCAATCTCACGGTGCGAATGTTGACCATTGACCGGCATGCTAGGGATCAGTTTCATGATGAGTGATTTTTTGCGTGCATGGGGTTTGCTTTTTACACTCATAATGGAGCTTCAAGAGTGCGTGTTAAGTGAATCTGCATGAATCTGCTAAACTCTGGCCATCTGCAATGTACTTGTTCGCCATGCTTGGACAAGCTGCTGAAAAGTCCTCTGATCATGCACCAAAAGCGCGCTCGTTTCTTGGATCTCGCGGTGAAGTCAATGGAGGCGTGTCCTCAAATAGACAGTGCAAAATTGTAGCTTGGTGAGGCTTTGCCAGCTTGTCTTGGAACTGACCCTATAGTGGGACGGTATGATCGCGAAGTCTGCAGGTTTTGTCGGGCAAGCCGAACACCTCTTTGTGACTGGCGTCCTGGCGGCTGCTGATCTGGTAGTACTCCGTCTTCACATCCCCTTTGCCCATGTTCAATCCTCCTTCCTGGCGCACCTGCGCATGAAGAGACTTCACGGGTTCAACCCAACAACAGCTCTGCTAAACGCATGACGATTCGTCTCAGCCTCAGCGGACGATTCCTTCTCGCACTCGGAGGGAGAATCCCATTCAGGTGCCGTCACTTCAACTCGTTGAAACCTCGTTGCCGCCGAGGAGGAAGGAAGAGGTAGGAGCAAAGGGCATCGCTGCGAACGGAACGAGGACGCTACGAACGGGGCTCCTGGCATCGCTACTAGGAGCATTCTTACTACTAGTAACAAGAATGCTACTAGGGGCTCCTGACCTTACTACTAGGAGCAAGAGGACGCTACTAGGAGCAAAGGATGCTAACCTGCTCTATGTCCAGCGGGTTCCCCTAAGATACCTTGCAATACTCTGGCATTCATTCAGCATCGTCCAAGGCTAAAGTAATGGTAACCCCGCCGCAGCTCTCTAGCATCATGTGAGCATTCTCCTGTACTACTCGTGAATGAGAGGGGAACATAGCGCAGGACTGGTGATGCTGCTGATACGTACATTCCCTACAGTCCGGGATTTGAGATTGAGAATGCAATGGGACCAGGACCCGGACCGTTGAATTTATGCGACGAAGTGACTCCACTTTGTTGACCCTCACAGGCGTCAAGCTCGAGAATGATGGAGCCCTCACAGGAGACGGAAGCGTAACATGGTTTCTTCCCTCACGCTCTTGCTCCCACCCACGCTCGCTGGATCAACACCGTCCCCTCCTAAAGATCCTAAAGAACCACCTGTCAAGTATGGGTAAGAGTGTGTACATGTGTGTGTGTGTTTGTTCTGAAAAGATTGTACTAAACCGAAGCTGACTAGACCCTGCGCTAGATGTTGTTAAGACTCAAAACTGGGGACAGTCATGGACGCTTCATTGATAGGAGGGTCTAGCTTCTCTCATTTTGCATGCGATTTCACATACCCACCTCTGCATGACACTCTCACGAGGGGCCAAAGGTAACACCTCACAGCTCCAAGGGTTGGCACGGCTCACTGGCTCACTGAATTCCACCAAGAACACTTCCCACGTGCTGACAGGTCTCTCTCTATCTCTCTCTCCCTCTCTCAAAGACGATTCTGAAATAAATACATAAACATTGAACATATACACTAGTGTTGTAGTTTCTTTCAGATTGTCCAAAGCAAATCTCAAGCAGCCAAGTCGCAGAATTACTGCCACTGCGGGGCGGTGTGGAGGTGCCCCGCGCACCACGAGTTCCGGTGGGACGGCGCGGGCGGCGGCGACTGCGACGGTAGCCCACGCCACAGAGCAATACCTGCGGCATGGGTGATAGCTCACGGGAGGACCCGCCATTTAGAACGAATAAAAACACAAACTCGACACCCGAGTACATAAGACAAGGACACAAAAACGGGACGCAACCTTTCCAATCGATGACTACACCACACAGCAATGCTCCGATCATGAGTGTCATCTTGAAGCTAGCAGCTAAGCCCTTCTGTTCTTCAGAAACTGGTTGCGCTTGGTACTTCGTGTCTCTCAAATGTTACTCCAGTCTGCTCCATCACCAAGGTGCCCCAAACACGAAGGCAAAGTAGACCCACGGTCGTGTAGCTCTCCGCGGTGGAGGGGAATGGTGCAAGAGATCTTCGGCGACATGCTCGGCCATGACCCTCAGCACCATCATGTACCATCTACTTCAAGCAACAAGGAGTACATTCAAGGTCGACTGTCGCCTTGATGCTCTGAGGTTTCGGGGCACTTAAAAGCTAGAATGTGAAGTTGGAATCCCAAAAAGGAGTGGCCTCATCACGCCTTTGTGGATTCGGGGTCAGCATATGGAGGCTGTAGATTATGGTTCACAGAGCAAACAAGTGTTCCAGATGAAATATGCACACATTACAAGCTCGTTGACAAGCTGTGCAGCTATATAATTAGGTGTTTTCGGCAACGAAGAAAAGAGTTCATTAAGTTTTAAACAGTGGTTTAATCTCCAAGTGGCACAGTCTCATTCACTTCCTCGGCAACTCCTTCGACTAAGCCTCGTGCTTGCCTCCGTTTGGTGCCCGTTCCAACACACGAAAAAGAATGTTGCAGCTCAACTTCATCCTACTAGTACGAGAAATCACTCAGTACGTCATCAGGCCTACGAAGACGAACAGAAGAACACTGAAAGAACCCATAAAATAAGAACAAATAATCGCAAAAGATAGCAAAACTCAAAACCTAAAGACAGGAAGTTAAAGGAAGCTAAAGGAAGAAGTCAAGAGATTGAAAAAAGGCACTTTCTGGCGGACCCAAACCCCGCCAAACCTCTCCACTCCGGACCAGCCGCCTTTCCAGCTCGCGTGCCGTGGCCGCCGCTTGAGCACCGAGGCGTTGGGCCTCGCTCTTGAAGCGCCGCAGGGCCTCACCAGCAACCACGTGGGGCGCCAAGTCCTCGCCGAGACGTTGCCGCAACCTAGGCGTTCCGGGCGTTCCAGGACCGCAACCGCAGGAGAAGCAACAGTGGATGGAAAGCCATAGCAAAAGCAGGTGAGAAAGCACTCTAGTCATCAGGTAAGTCGTTGCTTGTCGAACCACTTGAGTGACGAAAGGTCCTCTCTGAGGTGTTTGATGACAAACGCAGGGGCAGATGGGCATCCAACTGTTTCTCACTATGGACTCAGGTGCCCACTCCTCTCTCACAGCTGGGATTTCTGCAACGGCTGCCGCCAGCACCGGTACCGCCTTTTCAGACATGGCATCATCCAATGTCTCGAATTTACCATACGTGTTAACTGCAACTGAGATATTTTGCATTTCTCTGCATATGGCGAGCAACGTCAAGGAAATGAATCATGCATTCCGTTTCCATGCACATCCCGAACTCAATGGAACCAGGTGCAGGATGGCAACATCCAGGCTGACAAACAGTGGCCTTCATTGCCGTCTTGGCCTTGTCTGCACTCAGTTTTAGCTTCCCAATGCCCTTCGGCATGCGCACGCGCGGTAGGCGCAAGCGTGGGAAGTGGCGCTTTTTGTCCTGTCAGCACAACACACGAGGAACTGGGCACGGTAGATTCTTTGTAGATTCTTTCAGGCTTGTTTGTGCAAGTCGTTTGATCGAGTGTTGCTTCAAATGCAAATGTGCTTAAGATGTGAGGGCTGATCATCAGCGAAGAGAGAAGGCAAAGCCGGGCTTGTCCCGTCTTGCAAGTTTTGGGCAAAGAAAGCCCAAAGAAAAAGGACTTTCTTTGTTTATCACTGTATGTCCTTCGCTTCATCAAGGTAGACTGAATAGCCTCAGCATGCTACGCTGGATGAAGGAAGTATGTTACGACTAGAATCACCTGACCACCTCAAGCCTGTGGGAACAAATGCTCAAAAGAACAACTTCCAGGGACTACAATGAACTGCATACTATAATACCATGTTCTGTTTTAATCAGAGATCCATCCTTGGAGACATCCAAGAAATTACACCTTCCAGCCTTGCTGCTCTGATTTCTCTGTAAGCAGAGACGGAGTCCAAAAGGCAATTCATAACAAGTGCATGCTGCAGGAAAACAACCTTGCAGCAAAAATGGCTGGAATTTTCTTCCAGGCATCACATTCTGTGAAGCGCATGAGGCGATGTCTTCTACAAGTACAAGGACCGTGGAAGCATCATCCGCTGCATATGCTCATGGCCCTACACAAACAGAATCCAATGCGGAACCGGGGGCTGAAGTGATCCAGCTGCCCGCCCTGGGGCAGCGGTGGAGTCTCAGTAAGGGCAAAGATTGGGCTCGACAGCAACGCCTCACGTGGCATCACCAAAACGCACACGGAATGTAGAAGGGTTGGAGGCCATCGCTTCTAGGAGTACTCTAGGTAGGGGGGCAAAGCGGCCTTCAAAAAAAACGCACTTTCATATTTTTTGTAGAAGGGGCTTAGAATGGATGGTCCTCGCAGACTTCTTCATTACTCAAAGCACTCTTCAACTCTCTAACAAACCTGTAGTAGATGTCGTTGTGTTTACAGTTTGCAGCACTAGCATCACATTATGAACCTGCTACTTAGTTCATCTTAGTTTGTTTTCTGGTTGGGGGGTTGGGACAAGCACTTTGCCACGAAGAATGGGTGGCTGCGTAGTCCTAGGACAACTCGGTCATGCATTCAAGACACTGCGCAAAGAATTGCAAACGGCATGATGCTCTAGGGCAGGTTGTCAAGCCAACACACGGAGATCAACAAGCAAGAAATCAGAAATGAAATGACAAATCTAAAGCCTCAACTAACTTGAGATTTTGACGGAGACGCCAGAATTCACTAAATTGTTTGAGCCAGAGCCAATGGGAGCGCAGGAACCATGCGGCTTCAGTTCAATTCGCTCGCGCTTTTGAATTATGTTCCTTCCCTATGTCTTTTCTTCTCTCTATCAAATTAAGAACACCTCTGGTGGATCCATCAAGGTTTGATCACAGTTACGTCAAACAGATTTGCTTGGCACTTTGGACATTACGACCATTGAACCTGCTCGTTATTTGTGCAATCATCCGGACATTCAGGTCTTGGTGCCAATGCACTCCACAATCGAAACACGAATGGACATTCATGGTGCCCTCAATCCGTTCTCTTGTGGCATGTCCCACACGTACGGCTCCTCAAGGAATGAGCTCACATCATAAGTCACCTCATCTACAGTCAGAATGGTGCAGCTGAAGCACACAGAAAAAGAAAAATCGGGCATGCGTGTTAGAGATGGGATGATTGATGAAGGCTCAGCAGACCATGCATGTCTGTCCACACACTGAAAACCTCATGTTGTGGCACTGGCAAAAATTGAAAAGCCCAGCCAACAAAACAAAACCAAGCCGCCCCGTGGATGATCAGCTCACAGAGTTCCTCCTTCAAGGCACAGCATGCGTCGTTCAAGAGAAAGTGTGTGTGTGTGACCCTTGAAGTCACAGGGATCCTTTTGGAGTGTTTGTTAGCAGGGGGATGCCCCACACCTGAAGAGAGGGCATCTAACAAAGAGGCTCTTCAGGTTGTGCTGATATCAGCAAGGACGCTTGCTGACGTACCTGCATCAACTTTTAATCCTTTGGTAAAGTGCTAATGCATTTGCAGTCACGCACGGTACGCCGTCATCCTGTCGGCTCGTCGCATCGTGGCGTTTGACTTCTGGCCTTTAACTAAAGGCGCGCAGTCCCCCTCACCTGGTTTTTCAGGATTTGGCTTCTTAGGCTGGCGTGTGGCACCGCAGTCAGTATAAGTGTGTCTCTCCCAGTGAGAGCGCGGGATGAGCCCGCAGAGTGCCTCCCGTCCCGTGGACCCGTCGAACGGGGGTTTGTCTTGTCCCTGCGCCCGGGACCAGAGTAGCTCGCAGCGGGCGTAGGTGGCCTAGGTCGAGAGAACTCAGATTTTTGTCTTACGTCTTGAACGCCAAGCTGGCTCATGCCATAACGTGACTGTAGCGGTCTAAGCTGCCAGCCAGTTTGGGTGGCCGCAGCGGCCGAAGTTTGTTCAAGGCTCATTGGAGTCTGTCGTGAGCTTAGTTGCACACACAGCACGTACATGTTCAACGAGGCTTGCCTAGGTTCTTTAATGAGGTTTGGGCTCATTGGTTTTCGTCCCCTCCATTTGGTTCCCTTTTCATCCTTTTCCCCTTCACACACCTCTGTTCTCCTCTTTTCTTTCATGTCCTCCTGGCTTCATGTCTTTCATCTCATCCTTTCTTTCATTTGCGCGCACATTGGTCCCCGCCTGAGCGTGTACGTGCACAACTACATGTACTTTAAACCCAGGTTTTAGGTGGCCCAGGTCTTTATAATGAGGTGGGTTTCATTTTCATTGCTTGTCCCTGTGCGCTTGGTTCCCCTTTCATCACAACCACATACACCTTCGTACCGTTCCGTCCTCTTGTCATGTCTTCATTCTTTTGTCTCTCGCGCGCACACGTGCACATTTTCCGCCTTAACCTTAGCTTTACGCCTCTTTTCGGGGAGGCGTGTGTGTGTGACCCTTGAAGTCACAGGGATCCTTTTGGAATGTTTGTTAGCAGGGGGATGCCCCACACCTGAAGAGAGGGCATCTAACAAAGAGGCTCTTCAGGTTGTGCTGATATCAGCAAGGACGCTTGCTGACGTACCTGCATCAACTTTTAATCCTTTGGTAAAGCGCTAATGCATTTGCAGTCACGCACGGTACGCCGTCATCCTGTCGGCTCGTCGCATCGTGGCGTTTGACTTCTGGCCTTTAACTAAAGGCGCGCAGTCCCCCTCACCTGGTTTTTCAGGATTTGGCTTCTTAGGCTGGCGTGTGGCACCGCAGTCATGTCCGTAAGCATATCTATAAGTGTGTGTGTGTGTGTATGAGCGAGAGTGAGAGAGAGAGAGAGGGACCCACCATCTGACCATGTCACACCCTCTTCTATAGGTTCTACTAGTCTGGCTGCAAAAAATCCCGTCCTCTCCGCTAGCTTCAGATGTCACACCTGTTGGGACTGGGAAGGGCGAAAGAGTGTTGAGCGCTGCCAATGGCTCCGTCAAGGGCATGCAGTCTGAAAACTAAAATTCAGCGTTCTCAAGAACGTATTCAATGCATACATTACTTTTGAGAACGCATGAATGACATAGACAGCTGTTTCACAGGATTGTATGGCTTTATATAAATGTGGCAGCCGAGATTGCTTTGCTGTGCATGTTAGAAACTCATGAATGATAGGGCACTCTTTTGTCAACAACATTGCAAGTCAAGCTGAGAGTGGCTAGGAACCACAGTAATACTAACTCAACAGTTGGATGCCAACAACGGAATGAGTGCGGCTTGCATCTCCCCTCCCGAGTGGCCTGGCTCGCCCAGTTCTTGATCAATGCTCGGAGCAGCCTGAGGCAAATACCCCGTGAGGGCAACTGAAGCATGTTGCAGGATTGCAAATTAAGCGGCCGTGCATCATTGCATGGTCCCATATTCTGTAACATGTTGCATCTTTGAGGACTCCTACTCTCCAAAGCCCTTGGTATTGAAACCAATGCTGGAGCTGAGAGCATTCTCCCCCGTGACGGAGCTTGATGCACTAAGACGTTACGATATTGTGTGCAACTGTCTCCGGGTCCTTCACTCCTTCCCTCCCCATGCCTCTGTACTTTGCACTGCCAGCAGAGTGGGCAGCCTGAATAGCATGATGCAATCTGGAACCTGGACTCTTGACATGGGTTCGACACGTGCGGTTCACATGCCGTGTTCTGTGTCTTTGTAGTCCCACGTCTCTAATGATCCCTGGGTGTGGGTCAACGTTCTCTCTTCTTCTCAAAGAACTCCCACCTGAGCAACCAGGTGCACGACATGGCAGTCAGCACCAATGCAACTGGCTCCTGTTCTGGCAATGATAGAACATTATTAGCGACAGTCTGTCAACAAAGCGCGAGCCAGCGAAATGTAGGGCAGTGAAATCCCAAACCACAGTAGGGTCTGCTGGACGTTCCGCTGGACTGCGTTCCTTGCCCCGGTTTAGGCACCAATGTTCCTCAAATCATCCCATAGGAAGCTCCAACAAGTTATCTATTCGATTCATTGTCCTTTTATGTTCCGAGCAAAGTGCCAACTTCATCTTCAGCTCCTGAAACAGACACATAAAAGTGCTTCTATAGTCCTTGAAGATCAAGAAGGGTGCCAGGCGGAAAAGCACAACCTGGGATTCAGATCGGAACGCACGGGATCGCTCCTTTGGCTTACAAATAGTCAAGAGTCAAGAGTCCACTGTCTCAGCGGTTCGATCCAAGCAAGAATTGGTAGCAAATGTCGCAAACTACTTTTGTTGAATGTCTCAATGAGAAGGACTCTTTCACTGAGTTCACTGGGCCGTATAGATTGAGTCGCAGGAGAGAAGCGAAGGTGGCCTGATATACAGTATGCCCCGCTGTGTGCAAGAGCATTGACAGCTATGCCCCCAGCAAGTGCAAGGCCCAGTTCCAAGCAAAGCTTGTACCTGCACTGCAGTGAAGAATATGTGTCGTCGCACCTGAACAATGCATGAATAGAATTTCAGTTACGCAAAACCTACCCATGGCCTTCAATTCACAAGGGATCAAGGAATGCTTCAAATATCATGTGTATCGATCCTGTAGATCTTGCCGGTCTTTCACAGAGCTTTGTCGACACTTTGATCTGCTCCGAGAATCGGAGGAATGCTATTCCCTATTTAGCGATGGCCTCCAACCTACTAGCGATGGCCTCCAACCTAGTAGCGATGGCCTCCAACCTAGTAGCC